ACGAAGACATCACCGGCCGGTCACTGAACGGCCATATCATTGGACTTTCGCTTCTTATTCCGACGCTTCCATCAGTAATAAGTACTTCCCATCAGTTAATGTCCGCCACATTCAGAGGAACTGTACTTTTAGTGCACTTCAGCGTATACTAAGCGGCGCGGAATCTATCGGTCCCTCACCTCACATGCGCTCCAGAGGTGAGACAATGTCTATGAGTTGGTGACCAACCCGTCCGCCAAACGAAAGACAGGTCACCCGACATACACACCGATAAGCACTGAATGGGGGATATCGGACACGACATCAACCGTCCGCTCCTTCCCATCAATCGTATGTAAATCCCAAGAAAGGGTGACTCCAGTAGACCTATAGCTGTCATAAAGTCCGCCAAACTTGTAGTCAACGGTCATCTGGAGTCCAGACGTCTTGCAGTAGTTGTTAGACGTATAGTAAGGTATGTATTGATTGACTGGTATTTGGTTTAAATAATGGATTTAAATGTGAAACAATTCATGAAATATTGAGCCATAAGTGAGTGAATAATGCCTCCAATTCAATTGATATATGATTTCTATTTTTTAATTCAATTACATTTACCTAAAAATTATGCTTTCATTTAAATATTATACTCAATAATAGTTAATAAATTAAATAGATATTAAAAACTCCGTGAATTGATATAAAAATATCATTTGAAATGTACATTGTTTCAAATGCTTGTCAATTAATTTAATTTTGGTTTCATTTGTCACAAACTGTAAAAACTGTATATTTTGAACATTCGTAACATTATATTTGTGTGACTCTCGTGACCTTACACTCTGGTCAACCCAACTGACGGCCGTTTTGTGGACTCAAAGCAATAGCACTTCGATTGGACTTCAGGTATGAATCAATCATTTGTTACAGTTTTCCCATAAAACTCATGCAAATAATTCATTTTGAAATTATTTCTATTTCTTGTACTCAATTAAGACTTGCATATAAAATAATTATTTATAGACTTATTTTTTGGTTTACATTAAGGTCATCATTATGTCTACAGTGTTAATGAGTTTTAATTGTAAGAATTTGACTTATATTTATAAAGTTAAAATTAGTCTATAATCGGTAAAAAATACATCAAAACATTTACTATTTAACAATAGATTAAAAATTGTCGATATATTTATTAATGTTATTTTCTGAGAATTGTTTTTATTCTTGACAATGATTTACTTATTACATCAATAACTTGTGGTTATTGTAGTACTATTTTGATAGTTATTTTGTATAAATAAGGATTAATGAGATAATTATACAATTGAATTGAATTCAAAATAATTAGAAACTTATGTTTGCGATAAAATACAGTACTATACATGATTAAATATAATTTATATTATTATTAATAAAACTCTATAAAGACTATGAGAAATGTATAACATTTTGCACAAATAAAATTACATTACAGCACCCTTACAGTGCACCTACAGAGTATAAATGATATAAACTAAATATATATTTAAAGAATCTTAAGAATTTGAAATTCTAATACAATTTAGAATTAATAAGTAAATTAAAAATTTTATTTTAGAGGGTTATAATACTAAAAAGGTTGTATTGTATTTTATTTAAAAAAACTTGCTCAATTTATCAACTAATTAATTGCGGATACTAAACATAATCACATGCACTTTAAGTGTATTGTGCACTATAATTTTTAATAGGGACGAATTCTGTAGAGATAAAATACTATGTTAATTCTCAGTTTTAGTATCTAGTTCGATTTAAATTGATTATATTTTATCACAATCTTTTGGATTAAATGGATTACAAAAGAACTTGACATTCAATAATATTTAATATCTAATCAAAACACAATTACATAAAAAGGATTTTTGACAACGATGACAAAAATTTGTTACATTTATGTTATTACAGTAAGACATTTGTTACATAACATATTAATATCTAATTTAAGGAATATTAATTCATATGAACTATTGTATAGAAAAAGTTATTAACAAAAATGATTTATATGACTGTTGAATAATTTTTAAATAAAAAGTTTTTAAAAATGATTTAAATATCACAAAGTTCTTGGTTATAATAACATTTAATTTAAAAATAATAATAACTGAATAATGAGTTCTTCAGAGAGTTGGTTACGAAGGAACTGGCGTTTAGCACGAGTTATACTACTATCCCTCCGAATAGAGCCATTCGTATTCTTGTTTGTAATGTCGACCACTGTATCCAATATAACTACAACTCAATTAATTCAGGACAAGATTTGTATCAATAATTATAACAAATCTGTCGATTACTGCATAGAGATGTCCACATCGGCTATGAGTGTCGATAGGGATGACCCTTCCTATGACCGCACAAAGAGCCTGATTCTCGCAGATTTGGCACAATTCCAGATCTACACCACTATTATCAGTACACTTCCAGCATTTTTCTATCTCTTATTCATTGGCCCATTCATTGACCACTACATCCACGGCCGCAAACTTATACTATTATTGGGAATGTTTGGATACGTGAGCTGGTATTCCCTGCAAATGCTTAATGCCATCAAATTTGAATGGGGTATATATATAAAGTTAATTCATTTTTAGGTATAATTCATTAATTATATACTGAATTAATGGTACAGATGTATACTATATGTTGTTGGCATACGTACCCGTCGTATCATTCGGGGGCTGGGCCTGTGTTATGCTAACTGTTAACAGTTATATGAGTAATAACTCGCTTCCTGAGCACCGGTTTATCAAATTTGCCCTGTTTGAAATAGCTCTGTTTATAGGTAAGTTATGTACTGAATATATAGCTAATTTTTGATTAATTAAACAGCATCTTAACTACAACTAAATTAATGACAATAAAATTATACAAAAATTAGTTATATTACAACCAATCGCTAACATTAGAAACTATTAGCTATTAAATTCATAATAAATTGTTTGTGACAAATAGCGGGTCCGACGGGTACTTTTGTAGGGGGACGGCTGCTGGGGAGTGGCAATCGGGACACAACCAACAATCAGATCCATAACTACCAGCGTGTGTTCATTACAAGTATTGCCGCCGCAGTTGTGGCTTTCATTTGGGTATTGATTGTTATCAATGAGAACAAGAAGTCAAAGACAAAAGTGATTCAAAATTCTGGAGAAATGGATGTCAATGGAAATGATGTGAAGGGGAAGGCAGTGGAGAGCCAAACCACAGCACATACCGGTGCTGATCCGCCACAGGAACTGACAGTAAAACAAGAATTTAAATTTAAATACATGTTTGACGTCCAGAACGTCATACGAGTGGTGCGGACAGCCCTAAAGAGACGGCCACACAGGGGTCGGGCCAACATATGGCTACTATACGGGTGTATGTGCGTCGGGATGCTCACTGATCTGAAAGGCTTCTCAATACTGTTCCCATATATAGAGAAAGAGCATGGTCTGGACGCACAACAGTATAGTGCCATTCAGTCCATTGCTAATGTGGTTCAGATAATACTGATGTCCCTATCAGTGCCCCTACTGTCCACGTATTTCAAACTGAGTGACGCAAAGTTGGGTATTATAGGGTTTGCCTCACTATTCTCGGCCGATATGATCATCGGTTCCGTACGTCACCCGATAGCCCTGTATATGATGTATGTCGCGGGCAGTGTGTCCGGCTTAGGAACGGTAGCCATACGTTCCCTAATATCAAAGATCGCACCGGAATCAGAGTCCGGGCGAGTGTTTTGTCTGTTGGGCGCACTCGAGGCTACGTTCCCCACCATTCAGTCTGTTTTGAATAATACACTCTTCCAGTACACTATAGACTGGTATCCGAGTATGTGTTTCCAAGTAGCCGGCGCTTTAACATTGATTGCAATTTATATATTTATGTGGATTGACTTAACACTTGTAAACACTCTTAATAATAATGATAAAACTAATGATAGTTAGCATTCAATAAGTTCAATGATATATTTAAATGTTATGCCTATTTATTTAATTTAAATGTATTTCTAAATTCACTGTAAATACTTTATTTTATGATTACTTCCCATTTTTATTACTTGTAATACTTTATTTAACAATAAATACATAAAGTTATTTAAAACATAGTCATATATCAAGAATTATTTCACTTTATGAACTTGCTTATGGTGTTTGCGAATATTGCTACTATTATTACACGAGTACTGACAGCCGGGCCACTGACAAGCATAGGGTTTAACATTATAATGAATATTCTTGTGGTCATTCAAGTTATTTAAGCGTTGAAATGCTTTCCCGCATTCTGGCCAATCGCATACATACGGCTTTTCGCCGGTGTGTACGCGCTTATGGGCATTGAGTGCATTGGTCCCTTTGGTCAAAAAGTCACAGCCCGGCCAATCGCACTGCACTGCAGCCAATTCATAGCGTTTATACGTATATGGCTTATAGTTATGTTCACTAATCCTGTGTTTAGTTAAATGAGTATATTTATAAAACATTTCCAAACACCCCTCAGCCGTACACTTATAGGTGGGTTCGCTATTATGAAGCCGTAAATGGACTCTCAGTGCTAGTGCTGTTGTAAACGCCTTTCCGCAGCCCTTGATATCGCATGAAAAGGCTTTCTCGGAGTAATGTCTAGCAAAATGTTTTTCTAGCTCTGGTTTTGTACGAAATATGTACCGACAGCCCGGGAAATGGCATTTCAACGCTTTAGCCGTGTTGTGGATTATTTTATAGTGTTGTCTCATGCGGTATAGAGTGGTAAACCGTTTCTCACAGCCATCATAATCGCACGCAAATGTCTTATCCGTGTGAACGCCTAATAAATGCAGTCTAAACGAGCGGTAAGTTCTGTAAGACTTTTGACAATCAATTTCGTGACAAACGTATGAATTAGTGCTCAAATCGTAACATGTTTTGTAGATATGTCGGCGCTGTTCACGAAATGGTTCAGTCTTTGCATTGAAATGGCTCTTCATATGACTTTTGAGGTTCACTTCTGTGCGACACTTATACTCGCAGTCCTTATAATCACATTTCACTGTCTTTCCCACCAATTTAGGCCTCGGCTTTGGTTTACGCTTTCGTTTCGCGCTTTTATTACAGCCCTTGTATTCACGCACTGAATCGCTTTTGCGGTCACTTTGTTGTCTACTTTTGCTGTTTGTGTCCACAATCTTCTTGTCCTTCACATCACTATCATCTCCAGTAACCTCTTCGCCAATAGTATGATTCACTTCTTGTGTTCTCATACGAGATCTTAATCTCAATGACCTCTGGGTTGTTGTTTGACACACGCGGACATTGGGTTCAATGGTCTCATTATCTGAAGATATCTTATCGCGAATCGCATCCAAATCTTGTATCAATGTATTGATCACTAGTTTGTCTTCGGGTGTCATAATTGTCTCGATTTTGTTGTAAATCAGAGACAAACGGCTTTTCAATTGGTTTAAACATTGGTTTGCAAACAATATCTCATTCATTAGTCTCTGGTTTTCAGCCATTAATTCATCCAAAATATCATTCAAACCAATCCTTACATAACTTTTATGGCTATTTAAATCCATAATCAAAATGCTATTCCGAGAAACAATAAATAAATTAAATTAAAAGCAAAATAAGTTTTTTTTGCAAAACTAATAACAGTAACCAAACATTCAAACCATAAGTGCCTCAAAGGGACTGTCATTTCATTTCAATACATTTTTATTAAAACCAATTTCAATACATTAGAAATTTTTAATACAGAATTTAATATAATTTTAACAAATACAGTATCAATAAATATAAATAATAAATCATTTTTTCAGATGCACTTGTTTATTGTGTTTGTAAATGTTGGACCCATTGCTACTCCTATACTGACATCCGGGCCAATGACACGCATATGGTTTGAGATTATAGTGAATATTCTTGTGGTCTTTCAAATCATCGATTCGTTTGAATGATTTTCCACATTCAGGCCAATCGCAGGCATACGGGCGCTCACCGGTATGAGTGCGCCTATGTTTGGTAAGCAATATGTTTCTCTTAGTAGTGAAGTCACATCCGGGCCATTCGCATGACCGCAGCCTATACTCCCGCACTCGACGGTTAAACCCGTGTTCACACGCTCACCGGTATGAGTGCGCCTATGTTTGGTAAGCAATATGTTTCTCTTAGTAGTGAAGTCACATCCGGGCCATTCGCATGACCGCAGCCTATACTCCCGCACTCGACGGTTAAACCCGTGTTCACTAACTCTATGGTTATTTAAAACATGTTTATTAAAAAACATTTCATCGCATCCCTCGACACTACATCTAACGGTGGGGACAGTACTGTGGGTTCGGTGGTGTTCGTTACGACACGTGCGAGTCTTAAATGTCTTGAGACAACCAATGAATTCACAGACATATAGTCTCTCAGATGAATGTGTCTCCAAGTGTTGATTTAAAAGGGTTCTTGTGGTGCACTCGTAGACACAGCCATCGAATTCACATTTGAATGCCTTAACCCTCACGGTGTGGAAGTGCTTGAGGTGTTCCTTCATGTGGTCCACAGATTTAAACACTTTATGACAGTCCGTGTGATTGTGGTGCACTCGTAGACACAGCTATCGAATTCACATTTGAATGCCTTAACCCTCACGGTGTGGAAGTGCTTGAGGTGTTCCTTCATGTGGTCCACAGATTTAAACACTTTATGACAGTCCGTGTGGACACAGACCACCCTATCGTCCGCATGAGTGCGAAACAAATGCTCTCTGACTCTAAGCCAAGTGGCGTAAGACTTGTGACAATCAGTTTGCGGACAAATGTATGAATCGGTGGTCACATCCAACAACTTCTCGCACTCTTCACGTGATAATCGATTAAATTTTGAAATCCTTTTCTTAGGCTTTGATTCAATGGTTGAGACTTTTGAATGACTTTTCTTGTGAGCCTTCAGCAGGTGTTTGGATGTAGAGATGTATTGGCAGTCATTGTAATCGCATTTAAACGACTTATCCCTCGTATCCATCAATTTCTTACGGTTTATTAATTTGTTATTTTTAGTCAACATTTTAGTCGTTTTGACAGTTTTTCGGTTCAAATGACCATTTGTTTCGCTCGTAGTCTCATCCCATTCAGAGTCTTGTAATGGCTTAATGTCATCAGTGGTCACCACTTCTTGTGTCTGCAATAACTCAACGAACTCTTGTCTGTCTTGGGATGAAATCAATGTCTCGTATTTCGTGTGAATTTTAATTAAATATGAATAGTCTCTGGTTTTCAGTCATTAATTCATCGAAAATATCATTAATACTAATAACAAATGACTTATTTGTCTTCATTTGAACCATAACTCACTTTAAAGTGGTTGACATAACAATCAATTAGTAATGACATCCAAAAACCTATTTAACGACAATTCAAGTGAAAGTAAATTCAGTAAAAGTTTTGAGAAAACAAAATGTAAACAAAACACTCAAATCGTGAGTGCATTAAAGGGACTGTCATTTCAGTTCAAACATATGTTTATTAAAACCAAGAAATTCTTTATTAAATACAGAATTGAAGGCAATTTATAGCATAACTCCATTCAAATGTAAATCAAAACTAATTAGAAATTAATTTTTCTGATGAACTTGCTTATTATGTTTGTAAAGGTTTGAGTTATTACTGCACCTATACTGACATCCGGGCCAAAGACACGCATATGGTTTGACATTATTGTGAATATTCTTGTGGTCTTTCAAATCATCGATTCGTTTGAATGATTTTCCACATTCAGGCCAATCGCACGCATACGGGCGCTCACCGGTATGCGAGCGCTTATGTTTGGTCATGAGATCAGATCTCCTGGTGCTGTAGTCACATCCGGGCCACTCGCATGACCGTAGCTTAGGCTCCCATACTTTTGGCTTAAACCCGTGTTCACTAACCCTGTGCTTAATTAAAGTACTTTCTGAGAAAAACTTTTCATTACATCCGTCGATACGACATCCCTTTCGGGGGACATCACTGTGTGTCCGGTGGTGATCGTAAAGACACGATTTGGTCTTAAATGTCTTGAGACAACCAATGACTTTACAGACATGTAGTCTCTCAGAGGAATGCGTTTCCAAATGATTATTCAAAAGGTATTTTGTGGTGCACTCGTAGACACAGCCATCGAATTCACATTTGAATGCCTTAACCCTCACGGTGTGGAAGTGCTTGAGGTGTTCCTTCATGTGGTCCACAGATTTAAACACTTTATGACAGTCCGTGTGGACACAGACCACCCTATCGTCCGCATGCGTGCGAAACAAATGCTCTCTAACTCTAAGCCAAGTGCCGTAAGACTTGTGACAATCAGTTTGCGGACAAATGTATGAATCGATGGTCACGTCGAAGAACTTCTCGCACTCTTCACGTGATAATCGTTTAGACTTTTTAGTCCTTCCGA